AAAAATTTAGAGGCTCGACCTCGTTCGAACTCAAGACGGGTCGTTATTTCGATAAGTTCGAAATAACACCCTTAAGGCCAAGGGCCTTCGCCATCAAAAATTTGGAGGTTCGACCTCGTTCGAACTCAAGACTGGTCGTAATTTCGATAAGTTCAAAATAACACCCTTAAGGCCAAGGGCATTCGCCATCAAAGATTTAGCGGTTCGACCTTGTTCGAACTCAAGACGGGTCGTTATTTCGATAAGTTCAAAATAACAACCTTAGGTCAAGGGCCTTCGCGATCAAAGATTTAGAGGCTCGACCTCATTCGAACTCAAGAGGGGTCGTTACTTTGATAAGTTCAAAATAACACCCTTAAGGCCATGGGCCTTCGCCATCGAAAATTTGGAAGTTCGACCTTGTTCGAACTCAAGACGGGTCGTTATTTCGATAAGTTCGAAATAACACCCTTAGGTCAAGGGCCTTCGCCATCAAAGATTTAGAGGCTCGACCTCGTTCGAACTCAAGACGGGTCGTTATTTTGATAAGTTTGAAATAACACCGTTAAGGCCAAGGGCCTTCGCCATCAAAAATTTGGAGGTTCGACCTCGTTCGATCTCAAGACGGGTTGTTATTTTGATAAGTTCTAAATAACACTCTTAAGGCCAAGGGCCTTCGCCATCAAAGATTTAGAGGTTCGACCTCGTTCGAACTCAAGACGGGTCATTATTTCGATAAGTTCGGAATAACACCCTTAAGGCCAAGGGCCTTCGCCATCAAAGATTTAGAGGTTCGACCTCGTTCGAACTCAAGACGGGTTGTTACTTTGATAAGCTTGAAATAACACCGTTAAGGCCAAGGGCCATCGCCATAAAAAATTTGGGGGTTCGACCTCGTTCGAACTCAAGACGGGTCGTCATTTTGATAAGTATGAAATAACACCCTTAAGGCCAAGGGCCTTCGCCATAAAAAATTTAGCGGTTCGACCTCGTTCGAACTCAAGACGGGTCATTATTTCGATAAGTTCGAAATAACACCCTTAGGCCAAGGGCCTTCGCCATCAAAGATTAGAGGTTCGACCTCGTTCGAACTCAAGACGGGTCGTTATTTTGATAAGTTCGAAATAACACCCTTAAGGCCAAGGGCCTTCGCCATCAAAAATTTGGAGGTTCGACCTCGTTCGAACTCAAGACGGGTCGTTATTTCGATAAGTTCGAAATAACACCCTTAAGGCCAAGGGCCTTCGCCATAAAAAATTTAGTGGTTCGACCTCGTTCGAACTCAAGACGGGTCGTTATTTCGATAAGTTCAAAATAACACCCTTAAGGCCAAGGGCATTCGCCATCAAAGATTTGGAGGTTCGACTTGGTTCGAACTCAAGACGGGTCGTTATTTCGATAAGTTCAAAATAACACCCTTAAGGCCAAGGGCCTTCGCCATCAAAGATTTAGCGGTTCGACCTCGTTCGAACTCAAGACGGGTCGTTATTTTGATAAGTTCAAAATAACACCCTTAAGGCCAAGGGCCTTCGCCATCAAAAATTTGGAAGTTCGACCTTGTTCGAACTCAAGACGGGTCGTTATTTCGATAATTTCGTAATAACACCCTTAAGGACAAGGGCCTTCTCCATAAAAAATTTGGAGGTTCGACCTCGTTCGAACTCAAGAATGGTCGTTATTTCGATAAGTTCAAAATAACACCCTTAAGGCCAAGGGCATTCGCCATGAAAGATTTAGCGGTTCGACCTCGTTCGAACTCAAGAC